GAATTTAAATGTACCATTCCAAGTATAGAAAGAAAGTGAAAATTTTTTTTCCATCAATTAAAATCATCATGCAATTCTGTTCGTGAGTAAGGATAATCTACGTTCAAATAATTGATGTGCAATACTTCTTTATCCTATTCCTTTAATATACATGCCAATTATAAATTCGCAATATTCAACAAGATAATTTTATCTATTTGCGTTCTTTTGTGCAAAGTCGTGATTTAAACGTAATTACACAATAATTACACAGGCATGTGTCATTCTCTCTCTCTCTCTGCATATTACAAATATGGTTGTAATCAATATATCATGAACTATATACATTGTTTTGTTCGTATCGAACATGTGTAAGACACGCCTATTCCTTTTTTTAACTCATCTTCGTAGGCGAAATAAGCATGTATAAAAAGGGAGAAACATACAAAGAGAAAAGATTAATATAACAAGTAGAGAAAGGTTTGGTGGTTATATTTGTCTTGGCCATGATCAAGTAGCAATTTATAACAACATACGTGCATTCCACTGCTCCGTTCATTCAATTTTTATTCCTTTCTTTTGTCTATATATTTTGTGAAACACGATCTAAAAGGAGTGTTGAAGTGTTTAGGGGTAGAAATTTGGACCCCATCCCACCCCCGCCCCCCCCCCCGCCCCGCCCCGAACAGCCCAANCACAGACCGTGACAGAGAAAATCCATACCCATCACAGACCGTGACAGAGAATTCGGGTATCCATCACAGACCGTGACAGAGAATCGGGGTACCCATCACAGACCGTGACAGAGAATCCGGGTACCCATCACAGACCGTGACAGAGAACCCGGGTATCCATCACAGACTGTGACAGAGAATCGGGGTACCCATCACAGACCGTGACAGAGAATCGGGGTACCCATCACAGACCGTGACAGAGAATCCGGGTACCCATCACAGACCGTGACAGAGAATCCGGGTACCCATCACAGACCGTGACAGAGAATTCGGTTACCCATCACAGACCGTGACAGAGAAACTGTAGTTGTAAAACATCAGATATACGGTTAGCTCCAAATGTCTCGTAAGGAAATGGAACAAAAGGATTTCCATTTAATTAGTAACAATAGGTTCATCGTGTTTCACATTTTTAATCCCGCAAGGGATTGCGCTAACAGCTTTTTCAATTGTTTTCATTTTGATTTAATATATAGATTTTGCTAAATAATATAATAAAAGAATTTGATTACCGATGGTTGTTGAGACTAGTAGCACTTATTCTTTCGATTTTTGCTGCCGATCTGGTTTTTAAAAATAGAGCGCCATAAACTTTATAAGAATTGTGTACCATTGGCTGAATGTATCCATGCTTGTGCCATAGGTAAGAAACGACCATGCCCAGATCCTGGGTCCTCGCCCAGCTACCCTAGCGGGGGTACTTGGGTTCTCATATGGCTACCCTAGCAGGGGTACTCGGGTCCTCACATGGCTATCATAGTGGGAATACTTGGGTTCTCAAGTGCTATAATATAAAGGTACTCTTAGGTCCTCAAGAGCTATACTATAAGGATAGCCTTAGATCTCAAGGCCTCTATTAAAGGGGTACTTTAGGCCTTCAAGAGCTATACTATAGGGAAACCCTTAGGTCCTCAAGGCCTTATACTGTGAGAGTATCCTTAGATTCTCAGGAGCTATACTATGGGGGTACCCTTAGGTTCTCAAGTACCATACTATGAAGGTATCTTTAGGTTCTCAAGAGCTATACTACGGGGATAACCTTAGACCCTCAGGGCCTATACTATAGGCTACAGTATAGGCCTTGAAGACCTAAGGATATCCCTATAGTATGGCACTTGAGGACCTAAGGGTAACTCCATAGCATAGCTGTTGAGGATCTAAGGGTACCTCCATAGCATAGATGTTGAGGATCTAAGAGTACCTTTATATTATAGCACTTGAGAACCTAAGGATGCCTTCATAGTACAGCCCTTGAGGACTCAAGGGTTCTCTTGTAGTACAGACCTTGAGGATCTAAGTATCCCCATTAGGATAGCCATATGAGGATCAGAGTACCACCGCTAGTGTGTCCATATGAGGACCCAAGTACCCCCGCTAGGGTAGCTAGACGAGGATCCAAGAAGTGGGCATCATCATTTCTTACCTATGGCACGAGCACTTTAACTTTAACTTTTTTAAAGTTAAAGTTTTAAAAGTGTTTTCCTTTAACTTTAAGTTTAAAGTGCCACTCCTAATTCATATCGCAATATGAAATATTCTATGAATGAGAGAGAGACAGAGAAATAAATAATACCATGTACAACAATCAACTACGATGAGGTTGTAATGGATGCGACTGAATAGATGACCTCCTCATGGTTTTTTTGATGTCTCCATTCTTTATCATCACTCAGATGTAAGTGTTTTTTTGAAAAGATATGTTGTGTAACTCTTCACAAAGTGATATATTTTATTTGATGAATATATAATCCTCTTCATTTTTGAAACACTACAGAACTATGTAGAACCATTAATTATACTTTTTAATCTTTTTTGTATTCTCATTTTCTTTTATGGTAATTTAACTCTTTCAATATTGAACCTTGTATTGTAATTCTCTCAGATGTTGTAATTTTTATTTCTCTGAGTTTACTCATGGTTTGTGGTGTTAATTTTATCAAACTCATCGAAATTATGAATTGTGAAGGCGTGACACAACATGTTGTGATAGTACGAGAGTTTAAATGCCACATGAAAAAAGTGGAGAAAAGCAAGAAAAGATTGAACATTGCATCTAATGGTTCCATACAGCTCTATGGTGTTGAAAAGATGAAGAAGGTTATATTCATTGATTAAAAAAGGTTTCAGTGTAACTCCATAGGAATTAAAATGATGAACATGATGAAGTCACTTCAACCATAATAGAGCGATCAATCTACGCCCATAGTTGTATTCTATGATGTCAATAAGCAGTACAAAAAATCCTTCAATATTATTACTGAGCATGATAGACATAATGGAAACTCCTAACAATATTTGTTATAATCTGTGGGGAGAGTGAGGAGTTACTATTCCCACAACTTAGTTCAACACTCATTCTCTGTCATGCTTTATAATTTATCGTTTCGCAGGAAATTACATAGTGCATATTTAGAAAGAAAGTTTAAGTTTGAATGATGATAATCAATCTCATTACTGTGAAAAACAGTGATGAGACCACTTACTCTATCCCATCCGTAGGATCTGCATAAAGATGAATGTTATTGGCATACACGTTTTAGTACTGATTGTAAACGACGAATATGTATTCGATCGGCTTGCCGTCTACCGGTCATGGTGAAGAGAAAATAACGGACAGCAATGCACACAAGTTCGATTGGACTGAGGACTACGTACATTCAAGATACACATCACTCTTTTGTATAATGCCTGAAAATTTACGTTCTTTCGGCTTATTTAAAAGCCAGCACAATAGGTCCCCCACATCATCATAAAACTTAGTCGTAGACAACAACGATAAAGGTACTAAGGTGGTACTCTCATTTCGACAGAGTCCGAAATTGATGAACAATGAATAAAGAAAAAAGTTAAAGTACCTCAATTTATTCTGTAACTATAACACACTTTTGAGATCCGTCAAAGTTGAAAGTATTTTTTACAGCATTCCATGAAGATCTTCTGTCGTTTCTAAGAAGAGCCGATATGTTTTGTTGCGGAGGACATTGATCAATAAACGATTGCGACGCAAATGCGCTCGTAAGTCGATCAAAAACAATAAAACGTGTTGTGTAGACAATGCAATTTAGTAAGACGACACATAATCCAAGAACCATCATGACTATGTCGAGTCGGTCAGCATACCGAAACTATTGCAAAATTAAACAAATATTCTACTGTTCAATATGTATTCATGTGTATTTCACTTACTAGTTGAAAATATCCAACAGCAGCTGACTCAGTTCGAGTGTGATCATTGCCATCATGCAATCTCTCATATTTCTGATGAAGCTGTTTGGAAGCGAAATATTGACGCCAATTGAACAATCTATATGAATATGACATTGCCATTCATATTTTTCTAAAATTCAATTCTATCTTACATGTTAGTCACTGATCGTTTTCTATTCTTATGCTATCATCAATGGAGAAGCAAGCTACTGCTGACATTAATGGCTGAGTATCATTCATTGTGTAATGAATAACTTTTTATCTTTGAGAGAAATCGAAAAGAATAGTATCCATGCATCAAACCATAGTGATACTACATGATTTACTTGGTTGAGCACACGTGCTCTATGTATACCTTAAACTTGTCTACAGTAAAAGTATCTCTACAGAACATATACAAGAAGAAAGAGCCATGCAACGCGCATTATTGATTCATGACAAGAAAAGGAAGAAAATTAATAAGGTATTCGAGTCATCCTTTCAGAACGACCGTGATAGTTGAAAGACAAGATATGAAGTACAGCTCAAGAAGTAAATACATGAGTATCAATAAGCATAAATTGATAAGAAGAAAAACATCAATGAATAAACAAAAAAAGAAAAAAAAACAGATGAATCAGGAAAGGTATGGCATTGTAAAAGAGATCAAATAGGAATAAACAGCATAGAACTACAGCATGGTCACCAGTTTTCTCAGTCCATGATGTTAATCTTCTTGAATGGCACAAACACACTTCAACGATCGTAACTCCGATCTTATTTGACCAACAAGATGGTTTAGTTCCACTCACTTGTAAAAATGTTTCTTCAACGAAAATCACTACAATCGCCAACTTAGGCTGTCGATGAGAGTCATGAACTAGTATGTCTATTGATGTACAAATTGTTGAGCTACTCTCTCGACTCGCAATGAAATGTTCTTCTATTAATCAAAATTCTAAATTCTGCAAATATTCTATCTGAGCGGTGTAATGGGTGGAGGAAGTTCTGTTTGTGGGTATAAACATGCGTTTGTATGATGTACTCGTCTCTGTATGTGGGCTTTTGTGGGGGTAGAGGTGTAGATGTGAGTGTGAGTAACATGAAGGTTTAGAGTATGAGAGTGAGTGAAATGTGGATATGGCTATGGTCGTAGGGTATAGGTATGTGTGAGTTCACATATTTTATAGAAGCAGGACCAGGAACGGGCGTAGGTGTGGTGCAAGTTCTAGTCTTGTCCTCACCCACACTTTGTTGGCAGCTGAAAAAGTTACTCAAGATTTTACTGCTTTTTGTTACGACTTTAACAGGAACTTAAGAATTCATGGACCTACCTCGATTTTAGCCTAATTTCAACTTGCATCCGCATTTAAGTAAATGAAAGAATTCGAATAAAATCTTACAGGAATTTTTCCCCAAAAATTTTAAAGATTTACATTTAATATGATCTGACGTCCACTGCATGAACTCACTTATCTTTTGGATTTTATGTTCGCATAAAACTTGAAAAAGCATTAAAATGGCTATTTTAATAATAGTTTGGTTATTTCGCTAACTTTTCCGTTACAAAAATAATGTTTTGAGTAAGAGATAACCCCTGAAGTAAAACTTGCTCTGAATTCAATTCATTCGTGGAGAAGAAAATTAGAAAAATATTTTTTCCTTAGAATTGAAATAAACACATGATAGTAGAATTTTATTTTCAGAAACTGGTATCCAAAGTGTAATATTCCAATTTTTCAATTTTTTTTCGGAATAACTTATGTTCACGTCAAATTCAAATACGAATTAATAGATCAGAAGAAATTTAAGATATCGAAGGTTAAAGTTATGTTGAATCATATGGCACAGTCTAGCGCGGTAGGGTGATTGGCTTGTAAATTGAAGGTCTAGAGATTAATTCTATGTATTTATTTCTTCCCTGTTCTGCTTAGAAAATCCTCCAGAGATGCTTTCAAGAAATCGGATAACATTCTTAAAGAATAATAGTGAAGCTCTGCGACGTATAATCAAAAAATACATTTTTTCAACTAAGAATCATTGCAATTCTAACAAGATACTGATATAAAATCAACGGAAAAGAACTTAAGATGCTTCTAAGGTCTTGTTCTAATTCTCGTAAAATCGTTAATCTTTCGCAACAACACATTTCTCTCAGGAATTACCACTTCTTAAAGATGCTTCTCATTAAACATACATTGGTGAACTGCCCAGGATTCTGATGCAATTCTTTTTTAAATCTTGTCAGCATCTTAAACTCCGTAGTTACACGCTATTTTTTAAGAACTTTTTATTTCCTCAAGAAAAAAAAACGGTGAGTCTATACAGAACCCTTGTCATATAAGTCAAGAATCTAGCTCAAAAACATCAGAGATCTTCCCTAACGAAAACTTAACATTATCCATTAGAATCTATAGAAGTCTATCAGAGTTTAGCAGAAATCAACATAGAAAACTTAGATATTGACGAATCTTATCGAATCGTACAAACCGCATAATTTATCAAAATATATTAAAATTCATCGCGACCTATAATAATCTCAGTCTATGGTCTCCTTTTTCTTCTTTGTCAGAAATTATAAGATTGATTCTCCATCTTTTTACTTAGTTTTCAAGGATTCTCATAGACCGAAAAAGATCCTGAGATCCATCAGAATCTCTTTTTTTCGCCTCGTGAAATAGACGAATCAGAGCTGTGAAAATAATACATGATGATCATATAGATAGATTCAGAAAATATTTTGTATTATATATTCTTAGTCTATGAGTCTGCTTAATTTCCTTTTTTTGTGTGGATTTTTCGAAGCCTTAACCTATGTTGATGGATTTTGATGGATCCTAAGATCCACCAGGATCCGTTTTTCTCTTTGCACAAATTGCTTAATCTACTGAGTGACTCTTTCAAGATTATTCGTTAAATTTACAACTCATGAATGTGATAGTATGCCATCTTATCTTTTCCTTTTCTTCTTTAGTTTACAGGTGCATAGAACAACTTCATTTCACCATGACAGACAATGATATTCGTTTGATTCTTCTCGTTCTTTTTATTATTCTTTACGTTTATCATAGATTTAGGCTTTTATGTTCATGAAACGGTAAGTATGCTCTTCGCCGAAAACAAGATCGTCGAAGAGCATTACATTCAACTTGATTGACTGAAGAATATATCTTATATCATATATAACTCGATAGAAAAAAAAAAGACTAGAAGCTATATATTCTTGTTGAGACATTTTTTCAACAAGAAAATAAATACGAAAATGATCTAATCCTCAAGCATAAAAAATAGTTAATGAATACATGAAGAATTGAATATTGCTTGAAGCCAATGATAAACTAACATACTTTGTTATATATATGAATCACTTTATAAAAATAGAAACAAAACAAATTTCGATACAACTCATATTTTTTCATTAGTGAAATGATGATAGATAACAACCAAGAACATTGCAATATCTGTCAGTTAGCTGAACGTAATTGTAACAAAGTTGAAAATTATTTAGAAATATTATCATCCTCAACAGGCAAAGTTGAATTTGGGTACACAACTATTATTTTATATAAAGATAGATTATCTGACACCTGACTCGAAATAAATATCAAACAAAAAGGAAACATTATAACATTTTACTTTACAAAAAAAAAAGAGTCACATAAATCATTCTTTGTTATTGTTTTGTTGTTGTATTTTGAACTTCAACCATTGCTGTACTGGCTTTACGTTTTATTCGCTTTCGTTTGGATTTATTTTCAGTTCTTTCTATTTGTTTTCTTAATTTTTGATATTCAATTTGTTGATATTGTGTTAAAAACATATCAATAACAAGATCATTTTCAACGACATACTTATGAATTTCATTAATATTTACAAGTAACTGCTGTTGTTGATTTGATACAATACTATCATCTTGATAACATTTTCGTTGATAGAATTGTACGAGACGAAGATAATCAATTTCATGAGAATGAGCAGATAGAGAATGCCGACGAAGAATAGATATAGTTTTTGTTGTTGGCTGTAAGATTGATATTAATGAATCAAGCAAAATACAATTAAGTTTACCAAGATTGATAAACGGAACTGAATGAGAACGAACAATAACAGTACCACCACGTTGTGCCAAGACTCTGCAAATAAAAACATGCAAAATGTAAAGACTCATTGAACTTTTATTTGGTATTATTTTAAAATTTCAATAACTGCTTGTAGAAAATAAGATTATTAGTTAAAAATTTATTCAAATTATCATACGTTTTATAGCTTTTATTTACGTTATGTTGATTGTTAAGTAATTTAATGTAAACAACTCTGGACATTCCGAATATTAAATTATACAGATCAATAAGAAGTAAATGATTATTTAGTGTAAAATCGATTGAAGATGAGGATGATATAATTCTTTCAAATGTCTGAATATCATTTGGAGTAGCTTTTATAGTGAAATGAAGAAGAAATGATTGTTCTTGTTCATTAAGTAAATCACAATCCACCAAAACTTGATAAGGAAGAAGACGTGATTGTTCAGATTTATTTATACATGGAACACAAATATTATTTATTTGTACCCAATAATTTGATGAAGATGATAATATATTTTCATGAAAAAATTGTTGCTGTTGTTGTTGAACTATAATACGAATAAATTCCACTTACATAATTAATTATCTTCATTATCAATACCTTTTTTATTTATTTTAATTGGTGTTCTATCTCCTCTATTTAATTCTGAATTACCGGAAATTTTATTCTTTTCTACAGTTTTTTTTATTGATATTTTTGAAGAAGATATTCCAATTGGAATAGTTGGTACAATTGAAGGTGAACTTATTGTTTTTGATTGATTTTGTTTATCATTTTTCGAAGTTTGCCGTGCTCGTTCGATAAAATCAAGTATATCTTCCCAATCGAGTAATTGGTCGACTAATATAAAACATTATCAAATCAAACGATCAAAAATGATTGTACTTACGTCCACTAATAATTGGAAATGTTGAGATTCCATTAAGATGCCATGAAAATATATGATTCATTAATTTAACTTCATTCTCCGTCATTGCATATGTTTGAGCAATTGGTTCTATTGTTGAAAATGATGATTGAGCTAATTGTTGCCAATGAGAAGAATTTGTAAGAACTCGTTCAATGTATCGTTTAACAACAAAACGTTTATCAGATCTAATAATTTTCATAATTAACAAAACATCTTTAAGAGATAAATATAAACAATTACCGATATAATACAACAATCATTTGATTATCCCATTCTTCCCAAGAAAATTGATGTAAATAGGAAGAAGATTGGATAATATTCATATCATGGAAATCTTTATCTGAAATAATTATTTTTAATAGAAATAAATCACTTCTAATTATTCATTCTTTTGAGTATTAGTTCATACAAAGAAACAAGTATTAGTATACAAAAAGAAAAAAGAAACAAGCAAACAAATAAAAAGTTATTCTATTTTTTGGATGGATATCAGACATGAATTGAATCATCTTTTGTTGGTGCTTGTTGTGGTATAAGACTTTCACGATTCTAAGATAAAAATAAAAATAAAAATAATTAGATTAAAATCAATAAGAAGATTCAATTGGATTACTTCGTAAGTCCAAAAACTACCAATATCAATAAGAATTGAAAGTACTAAACCTCCTTGACCACTACAAAGAATAAGAAGACATAAAAGAAAAAATAAATCAAATCAAGTTAATAACTAACCAATTAATAAGATCTTTTAATGTAATACCCATTGAATCAACAGGTTTAACCATATCAAATATTTCATTCTGAACATTATTAAATGGTGGTATATCAGTTAGTGGTCGTGTGGATAACATTTGAATCATTCCCTTTATTAAAGAAAAAAAAATAAAATAATAAATATAATCTTCATATAAAAAAAAAATGAATTGATGAAATTTACTCGATAAAAAAAATTCAAATCACCCGGATGTAAATAACCTTTATTATCGATATCCATTATTTGAAAAAGATAACGAAGTCCTTGTGGTGAATTTCGATTTTCAAGTGCAAGAACAAAATCTAAATATGATTTATAATCCATTTCACCACCATATGTTAAACATTCTTGAAAAACACGTGTAATAAATACAGGTGTTAATGTACTTGAATTATATCTAAATTCAAACAACAAAAGAAAAATTTAAATATTATTTAGTAATATAAAGACAAAATTTTACTTGGCTAATTCATCTCGTGATAATAAACCATTATGATCTTTATCAAGCTGTAAATAACGTGTATAAATTTTTGAAGCTGATTGACATGAAAACCAATTTTGTTCAAGATCATCTACGTCAGCATCTTCTTCACGTAACTAAATAAAAATCAAGATAAATAGAATCTATTTGTTATTATCTTTGCATACTTCAAGTAATTTATCAAGGTAGCCACTACATAGTATGTCTGGTATAGCAATACGTCCTGTACGTAATGGATCAAGAAAGAAAAAAAATTTTCGTACTGCTGTACAAACATAAAATTTATAAAAAGTTTCTTGTAATTGTGATAATTGATGCATTGTTGGAATTAATTCATATATATAATCTTCTAAATCCTAATATTTTAAAATATTTTTATATGAGAATTAATATTATAGAAAAGACATAAACATTACAGATTCTCGAAGATATCCTTGACCAATGCTATCATAAAGTGATAAACCCATACGAGAATGATGATACCACATTTTACGCATTGTATATTGATATAAATCAAGTATACGTACACGACCATAAGGATCACTTTGATAAAGATCAGCAAAAATTGTTGGTGGAAAAAGATTACTAGAATCAATATCGACTTAAAAATTAACCGAGTTTTGATAAGAACATACGCAATAGCTGAACTTGCTTTTTGAACGACTCGCATAAAATCATCATAATTAATTTTTGGTGATTCAGGATCAAGTGGAGGTGAAGCGTTTTCTTCTAATAATGTCAATAATGACTAATAAATAAATAAATGAATAAATAATATTAAGCAGATGATTTTTTTTTTAATATTTTACATTTGCTTCATCACTACTAATGATTTCTTGACTTTTTCGATGAAGAAATAAAGCTCGGGCTTCTTCACGCAATTTTTTACCAAGTGGATCAGTGGGAATCTATGCTCGATTTAATACATATAAATTTATACTATAGAAAAAAATTTTTCATCGTACATGTTCATAAAATTTTGGTATTTTTGACATATGATGTTGCAAATGTACTGTTGTTCCATCTTTATGTATATTCGATTTTTTATTTGGTGTCGTTGTTATACCATGATGAGATACGTCATGCTCTTCTTTCAAATATTTTGTAAATAAAGCAAGTTCTATAAAAAAAAAATAGAAAATAACATAACAACTTTCAAGTAAACTCTGATGAAAGCACATGGAAAACTACAAGGCACCATTTAATTTTATGTTTTGTTCTACGAATAAGACTAGATAAGATTAAGTCTATTTTGAAATATTCGAATCCCTAGTTTGTTTGTGAACAAAGAAGTGATGATCTCATAGATCTAAATAAATAATTGATTCTAAATATATTTTTTGCTACTTTTCTTAATTCTTCTCAATAATTGAGATTTAAAGTTTTTAATACAAATTTTTCTTAATCTTGTTAAGTCTTATTCATAAACATAATGTACGATCAAATGGTGTCTGACTGTTGGACATATGCTTTTGTAAGGTGAAGTTTCTTTACCATCTTCTTCTGTTGTCATTTTGGGTTTTTCTAATTGCTTTTTAAGATTTTCAATAATTTTATCCATCTAGAAAAAAAAAGTTATTTATTTTCAAAAAAAATGATAATATAATTGCCGACTTATTTTAACCAGAAGAAAACAAACAAGAACAGAAAGAAAAAATACTAGATTAAAGCAAACAATGACTAAATGACGTCGTTCATATAGCCATTGTTTAAGTTCAGGCCACGATGCCCAAAGAAGCCAACAAACAAGATTTTCAAAACTCAGTGGTACTTTTGTCGTTAACCATATGGATAATTGATTAGCCCAACCGGGTGTACATAAGCGATCACCACGTAAACAAGCATCAACAACTTGTTGAGCAACTTGTTCAGCTGTTAAAGTTACAAATGGAAGACGAAATACGATGGATTCATCGTGATGATCAAATTCTGTATTTAATGTTGGTCCAGGTGTGACTAATAAAAGAGAAATATTATTATTATCATTGATCTGTTCTATTTCATAATCAAGAGATGTAGTTAACTGTGTTAAAAAAGATTTTGTTGAAGCATAAATTGCAGCACGTGGTGATGACATGTAAGATGCTTCGCTTGAAATATTGACTATACGTGAGGGTCTATCGAGCATTTTAGGTAAATAGTGACGTATAAGAAGAGTAGGAACACGTACATGAAGAGCAATCATTTGTTCATATGCATTATCGTTTGCTGACATTTGCAAAAACGGTTTTGTGCAACCGCGACCAGCATTATTAATAAGTATATCAATATTGACATCGTTTAAAGCATCAATTTTATTGATTAAATTTTCTGCAGCATTTAATTCAGTAAGATCTTGAATAATTATATAAATATTAATTTTATCATTGATTTGTCGAAGTTCATCTGCTAATACACGAAGTTTTGTTTGTGATCTTGCGACCATAATTAAATTAAAATCATGTCGAATCAAATGACGACAAATTTGAGCACCTATACCAGATGATGCACCAGTAACAAGTGCATAGGATGATCGATTAGCCACAAGAGGTAAACGATGTAATTGTCGTTTTGATGTAAAAAGATAGCCAATGAACATGAATATAAGATAAGCAATTATGTAAAATTTGCAAAGCAAACCAAGATAACTAACAGGAAGACAATAAAGAGAGACTAAGACAGTGATTGTTGCCAATGGTGACGAAGGCCACAAAAATGAAGTCATTATCTATCTAGAAAAAGAAAGTCAATATGATAGTTGCTTGTATGAAATTCGTTTTTTTTTCCTTAATAAACAAAAATAAACAGTAGTGAATTTGTTCAATGATATACAATAAGATTTGGATGTCGAGTTCGGATAAATGTTAATGTAACATAATCAATATCTGTATTACCGGTTAAATCGAGTACAAGTAAATTATTCTAAATAGATGATAAAACATAAATATGACTAAAATGATTTTATTTGTTTTTACCATCATTTTTTGTTCAAACAATTTTCGTATTCCATTGGAAGTAAATTTATTTCGTGAAAGATTCAATGATTTTAGTTGGTCTAAGCATAATTTTCCTAATTGATCAAATATTCCATCAGTTAGATTATTTTCTTTAGAAAAAAGTAAAAAAAAAAAAATTTATAAAATTTCTCTCAAATAAAGACAAATCATTATTACCTGATAAATTAATTGAATATATAAACATGAAATTTTCAAATACTTGTAATATACATATAGCTTGGTCTAATTTTAAACTTAATCGTTGAAGTGATAATTCAAATTTATCAAAAAAAATTTTTAATGCTGATCGAATGTTTGAATAGGCAGCTAGAAAAAAAGAAATATTTCCTTCACTTAAAATTTCAAAAAAAAAAAAAAAGAAAAATAATTTTCGAACCAATTTTATTAGTTTTACAAAGTTGCTCATATACAAGAACAGGATCTTTTTCAATATAAATTGCTTTTATCTAAATATATTCCCAATCTTGTCGATCATAGAGTGTCACAGAACATGCATAAATATTAAAACTATCATGTAATCGTTTGAGAACTTGATAACGAAGACTTGTTAAAGTATCCGATGGTGACCTGTAAAATTTCAGAAAATAAATTTTTATAGAAAAAAAAAAATAAAAAAAAATTTTTGATTGAATTTTTTTACATTGGTATTCGAAGTTTTTTATCTTCATTTGTTCGTTGAATTGTATTTGCTAAACATCGAATAATTCTTGTAGTTTGATCATGTGAAACTGAAGATGGAAGAAGTATAGTTGTAGTTGTTGTTACTGTATTGGTTGATGATGTTGATGATGGATGTCGAGACCTTGTCATTGATTTTGGTGTCATAACTTGTAGAACTGGTGAAAGAGATGGAGTTGGATGAGACGGTATAGGTGATTGTTTTTTTAATGGTGAAAATAAATCCAAATCATCAAAACTAACAAGATCAATATCATTTGATGGTTGTGGAAGAGGTGGAGGAATAGATGTAGAAATTTTCACTGGAGATTTAGTATCAGTTACTGTTCGTTGTCGTTTACGTGCTGGTGTATGTGATGATGATACTGATGGTGAACGTGATCGTTGAAGATGTTGTTTTCGTGTTTTTCTTGTTGTTAAAACAGATGAATCTTCAACTTCAATCGGTTCTGTATCATCAACAACCCAATGTTTTTCATTAGTATTGATTCGTTCATATTCAGCATCAGATACAAATGGTGTTAATTTAGATTTTTTTCTTTTTAAAGGTGACTAAATTATTGTTTTTTTTTTTTTTTGTTAAAGAATTTTTATTAATGAATTCATTAAATACAAATAGAATTAACGTACTTGTTTATCAGTTGTTATATCATCATCTGTTCGAATTCCACGTCGAATGTTATTCATTATACTTTTATATTGTGGTCGTTTATCAGAATCATTTTCTATATTATCATCGATACTATCATTACTATTGGATTTATGTTCTGTTGTTAATGATCTATATAAAGAGGAAATATTTTATTTATTTTTTGTTTGAAGAATATTTTTTTATGTTAGTTATTATTACTTTTCTTCTTCATCGGATTCATTTCCAAAATCACTGCGAATAACTTTCTGTGTGCAATAAGTTGGTTCATCCTCTAAATATTAGAAATTCATTGATGATCTATGTAAGGAAAACAATAATAAATTACTTCTCATAGCAGCTAAAAGTAATTCTTTTAAACGATTAAATTTTCGACGATCGTCTGGTGACATATTTTCATCGTATAATGTTAAATAATCAACAGCTGTATAACCCTGAAATATTCAAATGTTTTTCCTTTTATTGATAAAGAAAAAATTTTTGTTTTTGAATAAACAAACATTATTTGTACGAATATTTGTTTTTGCACCATATGAAAGTAATATTTCAATAACATCGAAACATCCACTATTGCAAGCATCGATCAGAGCAGTTATTCCATTGTTAGCTTTTATATTGATATTAGCTTTACAATCAAGAAGATATCGAACTATATCAATATGTCCATGATTAACTGCTTCATGTAATGGTGTCCAACCATGATTATCTTGAAGATTAATATCATCCTATATATGTGTATATATATGATGAAAATATAAGATGAAGAATAATGTATTTCTTTTTTACTCCTTCAGAAATAAATTGTTTCACTTTTTTTAAACCAGTTTTTTCTTTACAAGCTAAATGTAAACGACTTTCACCATAACAATTTCTCCAAATTTTTTTTCTCTATAGAAAAGTAAAAAAGAACGAACATTCGTCTTTGTTAAAAACAAAATAAATATTCATATACTTGTCGACTTTTACCACGTATCGTTGAATCTAATTCATTTTCATCTTCATCATTATCATCTTCATTTTCTGTGTCATCTGAAAGTGTTGCTAAAATTGCTTCATCATCATCATCACTTTCATTTGCATTATTATCATCATTATCATCATCACTATCTTCATTGTATTGTAAAGAATCTGTTATTTCACTATTAGTACGTTCTGAGCGACGTAAAATTTCACTATAATTTTCTTCTGTTATTGGTGGTTGAATATTAGCCATAAATTCTTCTAAATCATCATCCAAATGTATACATGGATCACGTAATTTCATAGCAAATACAAGTGAAACTGCCATTCTCTATTTAAAATAAAATCATATTCGATGATTAAACTAATAGAAAAAAAAAATGAAATTTTACAGTTAGGCTTTGATCATTTGTTGATCGAGCTATAGTTAAAACTCGTTTAAATGTTGTTATTCGTACATCAAGATCAATTTTAAGACGATATTCACATTTAATTATTTCACAAAGAGAATAACCTTGCTAAAAACAAAAATAAAATTTTCCATTTAATTGAATTTCAAAGCAAACAGTATCAAAATAGAATACTTCAACATCAGCTCGTGAACCTAAACCAATTCGACAACTCATTTCACGTCGAAAATAATTAATACTTTCTTGCCATTCTCGTAAATCTTGACAAATACTACCAAGTGACGAATAAATAGTTGCCATTTCATTTTCATCTAAATTTAATTCTTGTGCATGTTTTAACTAAATAAGATTGATAGTTTTTTTGAGAGAAATTCAGATTTAAAATTTATTACTTGTTTTAGATAATAATTTTTACTTCGTTCATTTCGTTTAATACGAGAAAATATATCAGCACATTTTTCTGCTAAACGCATTTTTTTTCTTAAATCTGTTTCTTTTTCATATCGATCTTCAAGTCCAGTTAAAATTCGTTGAACTAAAAATTGATCGATTTTACAATTAATAATAATACTTTCAATTATCGGAGTTTTACCATCAGCTAAATCGCGAAGAGCTTTTTCTTTGATTGGATCATTTTTTCGATATCGATAAATTTTTAAAAGATAACTTTTTGCACCTTGATAATCATCAAATAATAGAAGTGTCTAAAAAGAAGTTTTTAATATTAGTGTTTTTTTTTTCTGTAAGAAAAATATTCAACGATCAAAATTTTACTTGAGCAATATCATGTAAACATGATAAATATTCAGTTGTATTTTTTGCTAATTGTGCATAATGTAAAGCTTGTTCCATAGTAGCAATGATTTCTTTCTTATATTGTAAAAAATTTGGAACACTTAAATAGAACGTTGATACTGACGAGTGAAGACGTGCTAGTTCTTCATATAATTGGTGTTTTCTAGAATGGATGAAGAGTGGTAAAAAAATGTAGTAGCATATATTTACAAAAAAAAAGACATTTGAAATAGCGAGAGATATTCATTGAAATTGAAACTATTCGTATATAAGCCTGTGACAACTCATAGTTCTTATGAATCGCATGGATCTACGAGAAATCAAATTCATCTTGCTTTACTTTTATGCTTACATCTTTTTTATAGTTGTAAGAATATTTTAGTCCTTTTAGATGCGGGGATACTTGTGTGATATATCGGCGTTAGTGAAGAAAACATGCGCATGCAGACTCATGGAACTAAAAGAAACTAAAGGATGAAAAACGTGAAAGTCATAGTAGCTTGGAAATCATAAAAGTAAAATGGAATAAAACTTAGTTTCTCGTGGACTTCTCAAAAAAGAACTGGTCACTATATCCAGTTCTCGAAAGAGAAGAGGTTCATGGCAGTAGGATTTTTTTCACGTTTAGAACTGATCTGTTTGAACAGTTCAGCTCTTTCGAAAAGAATTATCCATCGGTTTCAGATCTTTTGAAAGGAATTGAATGACTGATGGCGGTTCAGTTCTTCGATCAAGAATTGTCACAGGCCTATTCATATATCAAATGTTTGAAAAATCTTCAAGAAAGCAATTTTTCTATGAGAAAAGAGTTCATCGTGTTATTTACAGAAAAAAATCCATTTAAAAAAAGTCAATTTGAAATGACTTCTTAAAACGTCATATAGATTATAAACTTAATTTTCTTTAAATAGAAGTCTTCAAGATAAAATATAACATTCATTGCTATTGTTTTCACTTTACATAAGTATACAATCAAGTAAGTATAACTTTTAGTGTCGAAAAACTGCTGTGTGAAAAACTAAATAAGTAGGATCCACTATCCAGTCTCAATCGCAAGTTTGTGATCATGATTTCGGGAAGTATTTTATTTCTTTTTTCATACCTTTCTGTGTATATCAAAGATTCGCAAAAAACGACGATGCTCTCAGATACATTCTTCATCGTTAAACTAAGTTAAAAAGGCAAGAATATTTATAGAAAAATGCTCTCATTATTTATTATTTTCATTTAAAATTTTTGTTTAAAATCAGATAAATATACAATAGTATTATTTTTTAATTTCTATTTCTATTGGTATTCTTTTATCTCTAACAACTATTTTATATATAATGTGAATAATTATTGCTGAAAAACTTTTTTTTACAAGATTATCACTCAGTAAATCTCTTGGTATCCATATATTTTTATTTTTGAACAGATGATAATAGAAAAAGAATTATATTTACTTGGCTAGTTCTATGGCACTTTTAATATATTGACTTAGAGCTTTAAGATTAGCGCCAGATTTATCACCGGTTGTATATTTTTCACTCATCGCATTGGCTAAATATATAATAAAATATTTTGTCAATGAAGACTAATTTTAAACGACTTCATTTACCAATGTTGATATAGGCTCGAACACGCCTTAATGCTAAATCTTGTTGTCTTTTTTCAATATCTTTTATTTTAATATTTTGCTTTGTTTTCATATCAATTTTAAGTTGATAATCAAGTTTTTCAATCATTAATAAACTATTTTTTGCTGCATCTAAACTTTTTTTACATATTTCACGTGGAAATTGTTCACGTTCAGAATCATGTAATATATCATCTTGTAAATAACTTAACCATACCCAATAAGTATGTGCTAAACATGTATAGGCTTGTTCAGTACGTTCATCATCAGCATATTCTTGTGCCGATGATAAAAAATTTAAATGATGTTTTTCACTTGTAGAAAATTCATTTTTAGCAAAATAACATTCACCTAAAAACCGTTGACAATAAAGAATATCGTCACGTATATCAGCTTGTTGTGCTTCATGTAATTCAAGTGTAAAATATTTTATAGCTTGATCATATTTTCCTGAAAAACCGTTTAAAATTTGTTGGAAATATTTTTCTCATTATTATTGAAGAAACTTACCAATAGAACGACATGCTTCAGCTGCTTCATGATAAACATCAATTTTTTCTTTTGGATTTCGTGAACCAGCATGATAAATTCGATCAGCTTCTTTCAAAAGTTCTAGAAGTTTCAAAAATTAATTTTATTTTGAAATTTTTAATGAAACAGAAAACTCATTACTCTGAACTCGTCTCTCATCCATTTGATTGAATAAACATCTACAATATAGAATAAAAAATTATTTTATCTAATTCATTTTATTCCTATAGAAAAATAAAATATCTATTTTATTTGTAAAAAAAAACAAAACAATAAATAAAATCTGACAAAATATCAATTAATTTAATTATTTTGTTGTTGTTTCTAAAATTACAACATAAAAATTAATAATTATGATTAGAAAATTATTGAATATGAACTTTTACGTTTAATTCGTCTCTAACAGTTTGATAATTTGATAATAAACGAAGAATTTGTAATAAATTCTCTTCATTATGTNTTTGAAAGTTATGAATTCTGTAGTACATTCGATGTTCTATCTGGCACAATCAACATCTTTTTTGGCACAAGTCTGTAGGCGAATATTTTCCCAAAAAACTCGAATCCGCTGCTAACTTTACCTACGTAATTGGATGTCTTTTTCTGTTCATGCGTGATGTAATCGCCACAGCGATCGCATTAATATAGACATAAAGAATCAGAACCAAAAAAAAACATTCGTCTGCGAAGATATCCAACTATAGAAATCTTATATTTTTTCGTTCAACGAAAAAGGTCAACTTTTTTTCTCCAATGAGGAAAGTGTTTATATAAACAAAAGAATCAATAGATAAGTATATATATCGTAATACGATAGGCGACAGAGCAATATTCAAACATGACTGAGCATAATGTTCATCTTCTTGCGCTTCCAAATGAAATATTATTTCTCATTTTGAAAAAACTTGACAATATTGATGTTCTTTATTCTTTACTGGGTATCAATAATCAACGACTTGATATTATTGCCCAAGAACAAATATTCACTAACATGCTTAATTTTGTTTCCATAGCACAATCAACTGATGAGATTTCTTCAATTCCTGGCTCAATATTAGATCGATTTTGTATTGATATATTACCAAGAATTCATCAAAATGTCAAATCTCTCATCCTTGAACCTGTTTCTTCGGAATGTATTCTTCGTGCTGGTAGCTATCCTAATCTCACCCAACTTCAACTTTTCAATTTCAACAAAGCGGTCGTTTCACGTTGTTTTATGGGTAAGATATTAATGTGTACTGATCTTTCAAAAGATTAGCATACAAAAATATTTAGATGTTCAGATTAAATGATATAGATTTCGTTTAGAAGATTCTCCCTTTGGACATATTGGTAAACAAATTATGGATCTTATTTTTATCAGCAATGAAAACAATATTGAAATAACATCAAAAGAGTATACGAAGAATGTTTATGCAATTATCTTAGGTTTCTTTAAAAATCTAAAGCATCTGAGCATCGTACCATCATCTGTCAACGATTATCCACCTTTGTCGTTATATAATTTACCACCAATGACTTTTTCCTCTTCGACACTTACTAAGTTACGTATCAATGTGAATGTTTTTGATGATTGTCTTGCTTTACTTGATGGTCGTCTCAAACAATTAACTACATTCATTGTTGAAATTCATCGTATCCACGAATTGATATCAATATCGCACAACATGGTGAGTTTATGCTCGGAGTTATGATCGTTTTCTAACTAGCGTTTAATATCGACGATAAAATACAGTTAGTTAGGAATGCAATAAACAATGAAATTTCTGCTTTAGTGAGTATCATATTTTGATTTTGATTATCAGGAAATAAATAGAGTAAATTGTTATACTTGTGTTGATGTTATTCGAGATTGTTTTATAATTAATCATCACTCATTTGAAAATCCATCTCTGTAGTTATTAAGTGACCCGATAGAAAATATTTTGTTTTATATCTTTCCTATTGAATATATTTGACTTATTCATATATGTTAAAAGAAACCAAACATATGCTTGGTTCGAAAAAAACATTTTAATCAATGAACTTTTTTAAAGTTTCATTTCGTTTTACTGTTGAAATGAGCACGGGTGGCCCGACTGAGTGGGACAGGGTGTAAGAAACTCCCCAATCTTTAAAAAAGTGGTATCTTTTGCTCAACAAAATCATGGAATTTTCTTCTATTTCTTGTCAAGAATATCGTTGCACCCCCAAAAAATTTAAAAACTCGACTTTTTACGCAGAAAAATTCGGCCACCCCCTCCCTTCAATGTTGGTCGAATCGGACCAGTGCTGAAAATGAGCATACTTATTTAAAAGAGATGTTTATGTTCTGTAGACATCATTTTTGTTGTGATATCTATGTAAGAAATCTTATCGAATGCTTTGAAACACGTTAAGAAGATTCACCCATATACAATATTTGATCTGTTGAATCATTCACTAGTTCTTTTGCGTCTGAACTTAATAGATATAATGTAATCATATTTATCATCATTATTACTAGAGAATACATTTCAGAGAACTGGAGAACCGTTTAAGAACAAAATTTGGAAAATGAATAACATCTATCGAATAGTGGTTCATGTGAATTTATTTCTCAGTTCAACTGATAAAGATAACTTTATAAAAATTTGCTTTCTATTTTTCAGGATGAGCTACCTAATTTAAAATGTTTCTCATTAACATGTTATGATAGTACCCGAGAATATGATAATCAAGTTCTACCTCTTCTTCGTCGAATGTCATATCTCGAAGAATTAACTTTATATATTCATATCTACCATGGACCCACATTTATCTCTGGTACTCATATTGATAATGAAATTCTTATTCACATGCCACGACTTCATACATTTACATTTTATATCGCTTGTGAAAATGACATAGATGATCCAATTATTCGTATATCTACTTCAGATATTGAACGAACTTTCACAAATATCGAACATCGACCAGTGGCTTCTATGGTAGATTATTTCGAGTCTAGCAAGATGATATCTCGGGTTTTTTCACTTCCATTTAAATTTGATCGTCTCAAACACATCGGAAATAATATTCCAAATATTGTATTTAATTCTGTTACTTATTTGAAGTTATGGGATCCAATGCCATTCAAACATGCATTTTTCGTTCGACTTGCTCGAGCTTTTCCAGTTCTCAAACATTTATCTATTTGGAATATTGAACCACCATTTTTTAGATGTCACGAATATCATCTTTACCATAACGATTGGTGCTCAATTGTTGAATATCCTCATCTTATTTCACTTGACATCGATTATGTTAGTACTTATTATGTTGAACATTTTCTCAATGAAACAAAAACACATCTACCTCGTTTAACTCAATTAAAAGTCAGTTATCAAAATTTGAAAATGGTGACAACAAACTTTACAAGAGATGAAACGCGACGTAGTTGTGCTAAAGTGAAACAATTAATTGTTAGATACCCCATAGTTTATACAAAAGATTTTTGTTGCTATTTTCCTTTGTTATTACTTTAATCTTGTTCGGTTATTATCTGAATAAAAATCTGTTGTGTAAAATATAAATTTCTTTTCTTACAACATTAGACATGGTGCGAGAAATGTAAATTGTATATGAAGAGAAAATCTGCTATGGAAACTGAATTGTTGTCAAAAACAACTGCTAGAATAATCGTATGGATTTGTTTTCCGTTGCAATTGAAAAACAATGTTGTATGGATGAATAAAGTTGAAAAGCGAAATCTATTACTCAACATCATATTTTTGGTCACATATTCGAGTGATTATATGAAATGATCATAATGATTAAGTTGATTTTTAGATTTACATAGCTAATCATAATACGGTTTCACTTGTTCTATCTCAGTTAATGAAAGAACTCACTGCTAATAGTATACATGAAAATAGTGGAGACAAATTGGTAAACACAAAATTGGTCATAACAGATCGTTTTTTCGAAAAATACAGTACATATGCATTTAACATTCATGTTCCTTTACAAACATGGAAGTGATATAGATAAGGTTACAATAGTATTATATGTGTCAATTAAGATAATTTTCACAAAATAATGAGATGTAAACGTGTCTTTAATGCTTCGAGGGCGGTGGTACATACGTATGTACCAATATTTTTCAATAGAAAAAATATATTTTGTTTACATTAAAGTGTTAGACCTACAAGGCCATATAGGTCATAGGTAACTGCAAAGATCATCTCGTATTTGTCTTTTCTTTCTCTCCTATAGACTCTTTCAAATGTTCACTTTTTCTTCCGCTATTGTACAGTAAAGTCGTGATGTGGTAAACATGTATCGTTTCTCTTTCCTTACGAAGTACAGGTATGTGGCGATGTTTAGATAAAAGCCATGAAAAAAAACCATCAGATGAATTCTCAAATCTTTGATATTATTGAATAAATCTTGTTCACTTTTCTATGCTGAGGAAAATGAAAATACTCGTATTCTTCATTTTTTTATATATTCTCTGTTTATAATTAATACTAAACAAAAGGAATTGTATGGAAATAACGAAGTCGACTCTTGTAATTCATATCTTAATGTCAACAGCAATGAGAGTGTTTTCGATTTTTATGGAATTATTTTGAGTCAAATACTTGAAGAATCACTGTTCTATTCGAAAAACTTCCGTCCTCAAAAGATCAATCAAAAACAAAAGTATATGTTTATTTTGTATATATTCTTGTTTATTTATTTATTAAGATATATACGAATAGAGATTAATAGGAGTTTTAATAAATTGAAAATGTGCTGTTAATAAACATAAAGACGAGGATTGATGGAGTTATTGTGCGATGTTGTAATAAGAAAGATAGAGTGAAGTATGATACACCAAAACCTCTCTACAGTGGACACTCGTCGAACGTTTCAAAAGTGTCCACTATACAGAGGTTATGTGTTTCCCAATATAATAATGTCTTTTGCAAGGAAATACACATGTTTCTAGGTATCTGAGATATTAGTCACTAATATAATCAGGTAGAATACGATATTTCTCTTTCTTTTCTGTATTTTAATTTTGAAAATAGAAAAATCAACAATTGTTAACATAATCTTTGATAGAGCTTTGTTTCGTTACTTTCGAGTCCAAATAAATGTCAGTTAATTGCAATTCAAGAACAGAAATGAGATTGTCAGGCTGAGACTGTTGAATAGAGGCAAAAAAATAAAGCTTTCTCATCGTTTCTATTACTTCAGGCAAATTTCGTGGCTTCTCAGTTACAAAGACATGTTCATTGTCTTCCTACTCTTCCTCATTAACCTAGTCCATAGCCTCTTCAGTGTTCGTCATCATCGACAACATGTGATATTGACTATTTATGTTGATTGTTGATTGTTGGCTTTCAACTGAAACTGAAAAGAAATCAAAAGAAAAGAAAATTTGTTCTGCTTTTTTTCATTTCAATTAACATTGATAACAAAAGAAACAAATAGCTTACAATGCGGCATCAATGTCAGAAAGTAGTTTAGCAATATTGATAACAATAACAACATTATAAGTATAACCAAACAAAAGAAATCCAAAGATTATAATGTCTTACATTCGAAAGAAAATCTATATTAATCAATCTAGATATAGATCGAAACAGATTACTTCAATGGGTAAAAACAAAACAAATTATGTAAAATATTCTTGATTTAACTTTCTTATTATTTTTTCTTTCTTTCTCTTATGATCGGAATATTGAACATTTTCATAATAACTATGTACAATAAGTATTATAATCTTCAATTGGTTTTTAACAAAACGTTACTTTATAAAATCAATTGTCATTCATTATTAAATTTGATATCGAAAGTTGTTATTTATATAGTCCACTTAGAATTATGTTGCTAAAGATTCTTTTTTTTGTTAGCTTGATTTAAAAGATATGATAATTACATTCTACTCATCGTAATCAATGAGTATTTTACTAGGTTATGACGTGTAGATGCTCTTTACCTTGGTAACTTAAATACTGATAATCAATTTATTATCATCAATAAAATGTTTTGAACAATAAATTGCTTATCAACCTATATATGTGTTATTTCGATCTTCATAACTTTTCAGATAAATACGGTATTAACTATATTCTACAAGGTTTTACTTATTAATTTGGTAACGTTTGTTATAAACTTAGCATAAAGAATGTTGCTCATTGATTAAAATATGCTCTTCTTTCCTTACAAGAATTTGATAATATAAAACAATTAATTTCTTGAATTAGTTATCTTTAAAAAAGCAACAACAATTGTATTTTGTTCGTTCTTGAATAGTTTCTTTGAAATTTATCACTATTTGTGATATATATGTACTATTGATGATGGAAAAATTGTTTCTATGCAATACGACTGAAAAACCTTAGCATATGTTGAAAACAAGTATGGCGCAATAGGTCCTTTTATTAGTACCATTCAAATCATTTAATTATTTAACAGTAATTTTCAAAATCTTATTCTTTTTTCAAATAGAGATGTGTTTATTATGCAAAATAATTCATGCGTTTTTTTGCGTTCTATACAAAAAATAATTATCTGAAATAAATTTTAATGTATTATAATAAATCCTATTAAAACTAATAGTTTGTGCCGTTTTCCTACATCACATTTCTCGTTTATAGGATGAAACAAAGTTATCGAAACCATGGCTACATCTATAAATTTGAGGGGAAGAAGTTCTTATGAAAAAAAAACAACGAGTACCTAACGATCATGATCAGAAATGTTGATTTTAGTTATTTTCACTTACAAAACCGTTTTTCGTCAACAAAATCTAAAAAAATTCACATGGTTATATCTGTGAAGAGATTCTCTATAAGTTTATTATCTTGTACCATTTTTAAAGTGTACAGCTGTCGCATGAATCGTCAATGACATGCAGTAGAAAATACAAAAAATACCCAGTTGCTGATCGAGCATAGTTTTGTATTAAATTAGCTAGAATACTAGATAAGTCTTTTACACATAGATTCTATTTTCAATACACTTTTTGAAGAAGGTGTTATTTAACACATTTAACTTTCAATGTTCTTATTCAATGAAGTGATAATCTTGACTTTGATAAAGACAAATGCTTATACAAGCTTGATATATTGTTTTTTGTAAACAAAAATTCTATCATATCGATAAGAAAATAATGCATTGAAAAACAAATAATTACTAATAGTATATCTATCTTGACATTCGAATTATTCTGTATTGTCTATATTTTTTATATGTTTATTCTTCAATCACAACCTTTTACTTCTTTCTTTCTGACATATGTCGATTAATAACATAGGCTCTTTTTGTTGTTGTTTATATTCATGATTGAAACGTTTGAAAAAATCAATCATTTGAAAAGGCTAAAGTGTGAGCATATGTGTCACTAAATTCCATAGAAGATAATTGACAAAATGCTAGTGTAATATATATATATATATATATTATAGAATGGAATATCAATTGAAACATGAAACTATTTGCATATATATTTAAACATGATTGTATTTTGTTGGAATATCACATGTTGATCTATTTCAGAATACATATATTTTATTTGTATGTCATTATAGATCTCATTTCTTTTTAAATAGAAAAAAGTCATGTATGTTATTCTCAATGCGAGCATCCAAATATTTGAATATTTTTTTGTTCACATCTTTTATATTAACAAACATTCTTGTCTTTTTTTCTAAAGCTTATTGATATAGAAATGAAAAGGTGTGATTCAATTAGAAATCGATTAACAGTGTGTGTTGTGTTTAGATATATATATATATATACCTAACGGCGGGAAAAATCAACAATCACATGTACGTCAAATATAGACATTTGCTGCTTGTTTGACAACTGTTCGTTTTTCTTTCTCCATTCTCATCATCATCGTCTCGGTGTGAATCCTTCATATGGAGCTATCTTTCTGTCATTTAAAAATGTATGTTGATATACGTATTCTTTTCTTTTTTTTCTCTCTCTCTCTTATCTATTTCATTCGTTTGCTTATTATTGTCGAGAGTCTAATGCAGGTGCACTACGCCATAGGCGGTTTATATGTCTATATCGCTGCACGACTTTTATATAAACAAAAGAACAAGAAACCGGTAACACCTGATGAGAGTGTACATGAAAATTGGTCTTCAATATAGCATCAAATCTCTGTTGATATTGGATAAAAAAAAAAAGAGAAAATGGGAGAAATGTTCACAGCATCCCAATCAAAAAATCAACCATTACAGAAAAAGAGAGAGAGAGGGAGAGAAGGAGAAAAAGAAAAAGAAAAAGCTAGGAAAGAAAAGGAAAAAAGAAAAGAAGCCAGCAGACGGAAGCTTTATGTTTACATATATCTCTTGCCTTCAGTGCACGATATACCACTATCATTGACGATCAAGCAACAATACTCGATTACTTCACTTGCGACATTGTTAGGAAATTGAGTAAGTATTAGTTTTTATGTGTACACTATAATTTATTATGTTACATAGTATTTTCTTATTGCTGAAAATTCTCGTAAAAGTAATTGACTATTATAATTTGCATATGACTGTTCGTATCGTATGAAAAACTACTGTTTTTTTTTTTCTTATTTGAGTTTATATAAATACTTAAATATACAACAAAACAGACAAGATATATCTAATTCTAATGTACAGCTGTTCAAATGGCTCTAGACTAAAGCTTATCTTCTTACATCTTTTTACACGTAGGCGCCGATAGACGAACATGTCATGCATACGTTAAACCGTTTATAACTCTTTTGCGCATTTTGCGTCAACAGCTGGCAATAGCAGCAGCATCAATTCGATTTTGCCATCTATCAGTCTCTTCGTTTTTTTTTTGCCTTGCTCATACTGGGAATAGACACTCGTGCAACTTCTGTTCTAATTCCCCAAAGAGAACCAAATGGTCCCTTCGTAAAAATAAAAAACATATGTTCTATTTTCTCTTCTCTCTGTTTGCCGCTTTAGCTACGCTAATTTTTAACTTATGGTCTGCCTTCTTCTTCTTCTTCTTCTTTAAGTTCATCTTCGAAAACAGATGTCTTTTCTTTTCTTTCTTTGTTTTTTTTTTTACAAATAAAATCTACTTTCATTTTCCTATTTCTTATCTTTGCGAACAACGAAAATAATTACGAAGTAAAAATGTAAAAAATAAAAATAACACTCAAAAAAATCTTTCACATAGTTTTTTTTTCTTCTTTGTACAAGTGAAAATATGATTGATGGAGTTGTCGGTTTTGACCATCACAAAGCTACCATCTCTAACCTTTTTCTATAGATGTATGTATGTATGTAAGCATAGCTATCGTTGATAGTTAAGTAAAGCAAATCGTTTTGTTTGATTGATACGCGCTAACCTTTTGTGCAGCTGCTACTATATGTATTTGTGCACGCGTAAGATAGACAACAGACCAGATACCTGTCCATTCATTTTTTTTCTCTTCCTTTTGTAACATCTGCATCAATCGCATGTTTATTCATTAAGAATTTTGCAGCTGCACAAAAAACAGATGACGCTCTGAAGAAGAGACGATGATGATGATGATGTTCAAAGAGGAAAAAAAAATTGCATTTTGTCACATGGTGCGACTAATCCTAAAACAAATACATCTATATATACGTCGCGTCATATAATTGAAAATATATTTGTTTGAAGTGAAATGAACACCCCATACAGACTCGGCGTCGGTTGACTAGCTTAAAAGAAGAATGATTTCTATTAATGCATAATACTCATTGTTGTTCTTTGTGTATTAAGTGTTTGGCGTAAGACAAACGTATGCTTACACTAGAAATAGTCTTATATAGAAAGAAGAATAATAATGACAGATTAGATAGTATAGTGTGTATGTTTCTTTTCTTCTTCAATATATGCATATCTACAGACAAACAGATAGATAGATAGACGGACGAGCTCTATTGAATGTTGTTGTAACTTGAGTAGAATAGAAGATGATCGACAGTCATTAACTTATCTATGTTCTTTATTTTTCTATTGTAGATTATTATATCATGACATCGACTACTTTTACAAATACAGATGATAATTATTATGAATTAGGACAAGAATTTAAAAAGCTAGCTTCACTTGTACCAACAATACCAAAAGATGAATGTCTTTCGGAACTTGAATTTATTGAAATTGTTATTGCTTATATTCAACAACTACAACAACTTCTTTCACATGATCAATGGAGTGAATGTTTAAATAAATTGGCATCATCTATGAAAAATTCTCTTCTATCATCAACATCTTCACCTCCATCTTCTCCACATGCAACAAATCTATTAAATCAATTAATACATGAATCTCCACGAACGCAAACAAACGAAAATTCATCGATAATACGCCGAAGTCCATTGGCAACCATTAATCTAGACAATACTCGATTATCGTGAACAGTATCCTCTATATATATATATATATATTTGTGTGTGTATCTGTCTGTCTCTATTTTGTTGTTCATTCATTTTCTTATTGCTTATCAATTGATCTATATACTCAGTCTTCATTTCTACTCAAAAGAAAGAAAAATCACAAAACAAAACATTTATTTTCTTATTCGTATTTATTTTTATAACTAGTCACGTAGATCAAATATGGCATTTGTTTAACTCAAGGCAATTTCATGAATATTCCCACAATTCGATTGATTAGACTTATTATGAAAACTTGTTTTTTTTTCTGTTGACAGGAACTAGATTGGAAATAAACTTCTATTTAGACATTATGTGTCATAGAATGACATTTTACTTTGGGATATTCTTTCATAATAATTAATGTTAGCTATATTAATAATTCAAAAGTTCGTTTTTTTCTTTGAAAAAGATCTATTTAATTTCAATATCAAAATGAATACAAATAACAATACATCAGAGAATTTCTCAACAAGATAAAATGCAACTAGAAAAAAAATTGTTAGCGCAGTCCCTTTGGGACTAAAACGTGGAACTCACATGTGTATTTTTGTTTCATTATACTAATAAAAGATGCGTAAAGTGAAAAATTTCTTGACCACTAGAGTTATTTTCCAAGATAATCGGTCGTCAGAGCACCGATCTGTCCTATTTATTTCTGCAATTCGAACAGAAATTGTTTCTAATTTTTACTGATGCTCTAATTTTTGTTTGTCTTGTCGCAAGTCGCTCATTATTTTTCGTTTTTCGTATTTTGATATTATTATTATTATTCTAGACATTGATTTAACTGACAAATAAGCCTATGGCACGTATCCATTGTATCCACAGAAGGTCTCAACACACTATTATATATCCTGATAATCGCAGAAACACTGATATTGATTATATGCCAAATATATAACTTGATCAATTCGCGCTTATAATATTGATCGTACGATGACTAGAATAAATCAATGCATCAGTACCCATCATCGTTGACATTTTGATTATAAATTTTCATTCACGCAAACGTCAGAAACAGAACTGTTGAGAATATTCACGAATGAATTCTAGCCATTCCAATTTCAATGAAGACTTAGGAATGTTAAAGAATTCTCTAGAACAATCTAAGTCTTGTCATTAATACCGTACGATGTGTTTTTCTGTCATTGAGGAACTCTGGGAAAAAAGCTCGACCTCTGTAGACTTTGATAGTTGAAAGTAGTAATGGGGGAGCCGAAAAAAGTTCGAGTAAAAACTTCAAATCACAATTTTTTTTTGAAAATATACACCAACTCTACAATATATAATACAAGTTACAATTATATTTTGATAATTTGATTTATTTTAATTTGTTGACGAATATCCAGTTACTTGATACGTATTATAAAAATTATTCTAATGTTTTGAATCAACTGAAATAAATGATCAATATATAAAAACCAAATAAATGATTTTATTTCGATTTCAGCAATCATTTTATGCTTCATATCAATAGTTTGATTAACATGAATTTATTTTTATTTTTTGTTTTTGTATGATTTAATAAAAATTTTAAAGTATAACTAAGTATTCGTAGACTTGAAAAGTCTTTTAATTAGAAACTGAAAATTAACGTTTTTATTTAATATATTAAACTCATTGATGATCATCTTCGATTGATTTTGCCATATCTGATTACTCATAACTTTAGGTAAACAAATATTACTTGCACGTAGTGACACTCATGCGAACTATATTATAGATAAACGAAGTTGTGTTGGAAATTATTTATCTTTAATGTTAAAAACAGATTAGTTAGAATTATTGACATCATTCAGCTTCTGTTTAAAAAACTGTTGACTTGGATTTTTCTTTGTGTCTCTTTAATATTTGATTTTATTGAATTAATTCAATTTATTCAAATGTTCTGATTACTATTACATAGTTTTTCAGTTAATTTTAATAGAACTGATATGATATTTTTATAGTATTTTACAAAATTCCTGTTTTTTTTCTTCTTCTGGCGTCTTAAAACCAACGACAATGTGTATTTAATAGAATACAAACTGTCTGAAAGAAAAAACGTGTATATTTTGCTGTTTTTCTTCCAATAATTTTTTTCTTTTGTAGGAATGACAAAAAAGCATTACAATGCAAAGCATATGTGATGAAGTTTGTACAAACTGATTCATTTTTTAGGTAATACCATCTTATGAAATTATTGAATTTAATGTTTTTTAAATAATAGTCTCAAGTTATTTCCAAATGTTCATTCGGATATGCTCAGAGAAAACTTTGTTAACTGATAATAAACATTTTCAATTTTAGAACTGATATCTTTCTGTTACTGCTCAGTTGAATTATAATTCATAGATCATATAGAAAGAAAAAGACAAAAATATTCTTAATCAATTTCATCATAAAAACGAAAATGAATTTCTTTTGTCTAAATTCTCTTTTAAATACAAAATGCATTGTCTTCGGTAAGAATATTTTATCGTGAATAACATGAAGAAGATTACAGATAAAGTTTGTATTTTTTTTTAATATTTCTTGAAGGCTTTGTAGATTTATTGAGAAACAAGAAGAACTTACAATCGTTCATTGAAAAAGTTTCATTTTTTTCGATTTTAATACCATAATAGAAGTTTTGTCCTATTTTATTTATATGCTCGTTTTACTTCGAAATCGTCACTTCCTCTTTATTGTTTGTCATTGCATGCAGCATATTTTTCTTTTCTTACCAATGCATGTAACAAGTTTCGTAGTTTTATTTAAATGTTTACTCTAGACAAGAAACAGAAACCGAATGACGTGATAGATTTTGATAGGAGGATCAATTATTTGTCTAAAATAGAGAAATGCTTGATTTTTTTTTTTTGAGATTATAATAAACTATTTGATCTAAAACAAAAACATATTTCAAGCTAATACGCTTTGAATCATTATTTATATTAATCAGGATACGAATGGCTGAAGCAATCGGAGAAACAAATCTCTGTCAGCATTGTAATACTCTGGTTAACTTTCAAGACTGGGCTGAACATTCAGTGAGTAATTGACTTTTTTTTTCCTAGCTTGTATTTCAGTTTTTATTCAACACATTATAGAGACAATGTCTCGATGATAAAAATAAGCGTAGAAGAAATCGAAGAAAGTAAAGAAATAATTTACAAATTTATTCATTATCGCTTGTTTTTAGAAAATCTATGAAAAATGAATTAGAAAATGACAAAATTCCGTGTGAATTCTGTAATGATCAAATTAATGTAGATGATTGGAAATCTCATTCGGTAAGAAAACAATATTTGATATAGATACATCTAATTATTTTAATCACATTATAGGAACAATGCGCTGATGCACATAGACGTCGAATCGAGAACTTAAAAAAGTACTATGTCAATCTCTTATAAGATATTGTTTATGCTTCATATTTAGTGGTATTGACAATGAGCCAATTAATATTTTAGTTCCATGTGAATATTGCGATAGACAAGTCAATGTACATGATCTAAAAAGTCATACAGTATTAAACAAATAGACTTTTCTTGGTAATATAAATACTTATTTATTTCTATTACATTTTAGAGACAATGTGCTAATAAATATAAGCATCAAAGTAAAATATTACAAAAGTAAAATATGTTCACTATTGGATAATACATGTTTCATTTTTATATGATTGTAGTAATGAAACAGAGCTTATTCCATGCGAATACTGTAATGCTCAAGTCAGCGTGCTAGAATGGGAAATGCATGCGGTAAAACACATTAGTGCGCTTTTATATTTTTTTATCTAGCTGAGATTCATCGAAAACTAATGATCAATCCATATGATTGTTCAGTATGGTTTCTCTCTTCAATTTTTATGATTAATTGCTAATTTTTTTTTGTCATAAGTTTTGCAAAATAGTGCGAATAAATAAATGAATAGGGATAGTTGTAAAACCTAAAAGGAAAATACAATTCTTTGAATAATATAGTTCGATCAAAGACTAAGAATAATATCAGTTAATGCTTCAATTACTAAACTACACAAAGTTTTATTTAGTTTTTGCTACATATTAATAAATGGGAAAAATATAGCTCGTTCGGTTAGTCAACAATTGATAATATCTTCTCATTAAATTATGTGACAAGTGATATAGACGTACTTAGTTGTTTAATGTTACATTATCGTTTATTGTCTCAGAACTTTAGACTAATGAAAAATATATGACTAGTTTATTGACAAGTTTTATATTTTATGTAATTTGTTGTTTCTAAGACTGTAGATATGTTTATTTTTACTTTCCTATAGAATGGATGCATTGAAGCTGAACGGCAGATAATTGGAGATTTAACCAAGTAAAGAAATAATTCATACATTTCATATGCTATTTTTACTATTTATTAATATGTAGCAAAAACTAAATAAAACTTTGTGTAGTTTAGTAATTGAAGCATTA